ACAATAAAAAGAGCATTCTGGTTCTTTTCAACTAATATTGTATCCACCTTAGGGGGGAAAAAAAAAAAAAAAAAGAAGAATTGTTGAGTTTGACCTTTTAACTAGCAAAACCCTCATTTATTGGACTACCATTTGTATAACAAAGTGAACTACTTCCAAAATTACATTTGGAGAGAGTAGAATAATAAGCCAAAGTTATGTTCCTTGAGACACACTTTTCAAAGTATTTATTAAAATTTTTTTCTTTCTCCACACAATTGCAATTTTTTAATCAATCATGATAGGTCATAAGCTGCCCAGTTAGTTTGACACCATTTATTTTTTCTGCAGCAACTTCTACGTGAATTTGTAAAGAAAATGAATGGATGTCTTCAAATCAGGCCATCTGTTTCAAAAGGCCCTCTCACTTAGTCACCCGCAATGATGTGCTAGGGAGTGGGATCCTCACCTGTGAGGGGGACTGAGCAGTCAGGGGAAGTCCCAGGATGCCAGCAGGACAGGGGATGCTGTGCAGAGCAATGACATCCCTTACTTGAGAAACCCCAGGGACCTTGTAGGCAGGTCAGAAAACACAGGAGAAGACCCATCTACAACAGCCCTGCAGTGCAAAGGGCAGTCCACGGTCAGCTGTAACTAAGGAAGCTTTGTGGCCCTATATAATGCTAGGAACTTCTCTCACTACTAAAACCTGCTGGCTGTACACAAAGTAGTTTCCAGCTACTGTACTGTCCTGTCTCAAGCTGTTAGTTCTGCATAGTATCACCAAAAATTGTTTACTTCAAGGAAAATTCGGCCTTGAAAATGGAAATGGTTCTTAAGTTACATATGCACATTTCACCATAAAGGCAAAGCCTATGTTGTCATCAACAATGACTGCAGTATTTTTAAAGGTGAGAAGTATATTGTCCCTGCACTTTTTAGACGGTCTCAGTCTGCACAGCAGATGCTGCATGATCAAGACACGTTTGAATCTTACTAAAATTGTCTTTAGCAAAGGAATCAAATTATTCTATGGATTACCATTCCAAATTTTACTCTAATATTCTTATTACTGGATAAAAACATCACAGATTACTAGAATTCTAGGAAGATGCATGCTCTTTCTGGACTCAAAGTATCAGATAAAATAGCACTGAAACAGACCAAAAATATATAGATTTTAATACCAACGGTATAACTAAGGCCTATGAATCACCAACATAGTCCAAAGCCTTGCAACTTAAATTAATAATTAATATAGAAGCAACAAATACATATATACATAGATAGATAAAGACATATATGTGATGTTGCTTTACAGCAGCATCTTCTGGATGGAAGTAACCGTAACTTGGCAGTGGAAAACCCTATATATAAAATAGGCTTTTAGAATTTGGGGTTTTATATATTTCAAATCTCAATACACCTAAACAAATCTGAATGTTCTTACTACATTGAAAAAAATTTCAGGCTACAATTTTTTTTTTTTTTGCTGCAGGAAGCTAATACTGAAGGAAATCTATTGTACAAACCCTGCCTGAAAAATTCTTGATATCACTGTTCACTAGACTGTCAAAAGAATTCACTTATAGAGATTCTTACTTTCTCAATGACAAACAAAGCATTTGGTAGCTGAGCTGTGTATTCTACAGATAGGATCATAAGTGGCATGGGACAGAAATCTCTGAACAAGTGCTGATTCAAGTAGTCATATGTGTGCATGCACATACATGCACACTCTTGCCTGAGTACCCAAGTACCATAGCTGCATAAGTCAGCACTTTTAGCTCATGCATAGCATTACACTGACAGAGCTAAATTGCTTCCAGTTCTGAGTGGGCTTGATCAGCAGTTATTCAAATATCCAGAAGTCTACTGCATATTATCAGCATGCACTACACGTCATTTTAGAAAGAAGCAGGTTTTCCTCACCTGTTCATTTGCCTCTAGACATTAAATTCAAATATTTGATAACACTGTTCAATGAGTTAAAAAATTAAACCTACCCACAAAAAAGCACACTACAGCTAAATTACTAGAGCAGAAGACTGAAAGAAGAACTTGATTAAAATAAAAATATATAGGGGGGGGTAGGAGGGGCAGGAGGACGGGGCATCTAGAATAGGAATTGTATAAAAGGAGTAATAGCATGTATAAAAGACTGGACTGAAGAGTCCATAAGAAATATTAATTATTAATCTAAATATGCCCTGGATGTGATCCTGGGCAATATGCTCTAGGTGACCCTGCTTGAACAGGGAGGTTGGACTAGATGATCTCCAGAGGTCCCATCCAACCTAAATGATTCTGTGATACTACACAACTCAACATGACATTGCAAGAATACTGGGTTTTTTCCCATAAATATCTTAGTGATTTTTTATTTTAAAATGTTGTAACAGGGAGACCCACCTCATAGCCACATTGCTTCCATCAATGACAATTGGCCTCAGGTTATCACTGTTATCCACAACTTCATCCTCAAGTGACAGTTCAGGGCTTGCTATCTCCTTCGGGCATAGGCCTCTCGGCACCAGAGTACTAGTGGTAGTGCTGGCGCTGCCTTGCCCTTCTGATTCACTTTTGTTGCCAAGTCTCACAAGCTCTGCCAGAACATCATTGATGAGAGCATCTGCTCCCAATTTATTCAGTACAGCCTGGATCTGATCTCCTGCATATCCAAGCTTTAAAGCAAAATCCATTTTAGCTTGGTATTCCTTGTCCAGATTTGTTTTGCATTCTTCCAGCTTCAAGTCTTGTGTGATACTGCTCTGTGAAAAACTTGGGCGATCCAAACAAGGGGAACGACAGAGCGGCCGATGTGGTTTAGCAGAAACCTCCTTCTCTCTCCACTGTATATTGCTACAGCTGCTTCTGAAGTATGGTTGCTCAGGTTCACTTTCTGAGCTCGTCCATTCCTCAGATTCAGCACTGCATTCCCCAGCATCTTGTTCCATATTTCTGTCTTCTCTGGTGTGCCTCTTCTCCATTTTCAACTTCCCCACCATAGACCAGGCCGTCATCACGTTCAGCTTCCAGCCAGAGAGCTCAAAATTTCTCTTTCATTTCCAAAGCCACCTGGGATTTGTACTCAGTTGCATCTTGTTGGCTAATTACAGGTTTACACAAGGCTGGAGTTAATTGGCCTTGCTTACTTTGTTCTGGCATAAACAACACCAACATGAAGCTCCTTAAAAAAAAGAGGGGAGAGGGGGGAACAAAAAATAGCTTTTGTTAAATTCTGCAGAATACTTGACTACAGTAATTTTGTTTACAAGTCAGTAGAGATCCCTAGACATTCAGATTTCCATATAAAAATTGATCATAATAAAGCATATAATTTTGTCTCTTTATAATTTTTTTCTCTTTATAATTTTCTCTCTTTATAATTTTTTTTATAATTTAAAAATATAATTTTTGTCTCTTTACTCACAAATCAAATTCCCTTTCTCTCTCCCTCATTAACTGTATGCACCAAACAAAAAATATTTAAAAAAAGTTTCCACACAATAAATTTTTAGCTGAAATTAATGGAGTATCTCTATGATATTTAAACGAACAACACAGAAAAGGCTGACCCACCTCTTTCACTAAAAAATTGTCTTTACAGTTGTAGCCCGTCTACACAATTGTCGGGAACATCTGTGTGGAGTTCCAACATGCAGAAAATTTAACAAATACTTTCAGTATCTTCCAGTAAGGTGTCTATCACAGCTGACAAGCTAAACTGGCTTAACTTTAGTATAAGCTGGCTGCTAGACATGCAGAGGTCATTACAGAGATTCACAAAAATTCTGCCAGATGATCACCATGTGCTTTGTTTCCTGTACCTGTTGCACTGAAAATTCCAAAAGCAAGGATGGATAGTACTGCATTTTGACAGATTCACACTCATAGTGTCAGGATACTCACTGAAAATTCTTGTATTTTAGCAGAAGAAAAAATGTTCAAGGAATTCTAGTGAGAGGTCTGACAAACTAGAAAATTAACTATGGTGGCCTGTGAAAGGCTGAACTGAAGTCATGACGCTTTTGAAAAAGTTTTAAAAAGGAAAAGTGCCTGCAGCAGGGCATGTTTTAGAGAAAATGATAAACTCAGCTCCAGATGGAAATGAAGAAAGCTGGAGAAAATTGGGTCAGAAAGGCTGAGCAACATAAGAAATTCATAAGTTGGAACAAAGAAGACTTCAACTTTTTGACCACCAGAATTGACAAGCCAACCTAAGTATTTTGCAAGAGGCCTGCTTTTAGAAAGTAGTATCCTCTCCTCTGCAAACCCATAAACTCTGACAATGGAGGACTTATTGGGTCCTGTAAGTAATGAAAGTAACAGTGCAATTGTCTTGAAGAAATCATTTACTTTAGATACACCTGCTCATTTTAAATCCACTTGCTCATGTTAATAAATCTTGTTCTTGTTGAAGTAACTGCTTTTAGATGTAACTACAGACAAAAGAGAAGAAAGATTGAAAGAGAAGAATAAAAAGGTACCTAACTTCTATTAAAAGCCACAAGAAGGTATAGTCTGTGGAATCTACAAACTGTCTTAAAGCTATGTCTGTAGTAGAGATTTCTATTAGCACAGATGCTGTTTGAAGAGGTATGAGGAGCATGATCCTGGATTTAAATAGCAGTCACAAAAAAAAGCCCTTGTACTGACACAGTTTTCAAATATACAGTCACTCTTAACAGGATAGCCAGTTAGCTTTGTGTTCTGAAGAATTTTGCAGATGTAAGCTATGGAATGCGTGAAGAGCTTTTTCCCAGGATTCTTACGAGAGTTTTTGTGGCATAAACTAGGGTGACTTTGGCACTGGAACAGACATTGGCCAAAGGAGCCCTCTACTAATGAGCTCCTTATGCATCCACAAGGAGCAGAAAAATCGAAAGAGTAATCCATGCTTTTTGGGGTACTGGTCACTAGTGTCACTTAGAATAAATTTACACCTCTTTCATGCACCTTTTTCATTTCCTCTCCTGTGTCTTCCACTCCTTCAGGTTCTGAGCAAGCATTAAAAGAAGTTAAAATTTTCCTCAAAAGAGCATAAGCACTCAAGCAAGTATGTAAATTGTTTATATATAGGACATTATCAAGGACACTTTCATTCAAAAACTTTTTTAAAAAAAAAAAATCTTACTCCTATCTCCCCAAGAGACCACATGGAATCTTATTTAGTTTCTGTGGTCTACCAAAACAGCAAATAAAAGGAGAAATACTCCCTTGATGTATAGCAGCGTTACTCGCTTGATGTATAATAACACCACATCTAGAGACTAAAAATAAGTACTGAAATCTGTCAGGGGTGGGGGGGAATGTGTATCTAACATAGGTAGAAGAAAAGCATATCTAACACTGTTCATTTTATTATTTATTTGGTTTTCTTCCTGAAAATAGTATTTTAAATTGTTCCACAGAATTATATTCAATAGCCATTGATATCAAGAGAATAACATGGAAGAGCTAACCAGTATTAACATAGTGAGCTAAAACGAATGTATAAAAATACAATATTGCATACTAAAAGTATTTTTAAAATGAAAATCTCATTTTCACTATTTCGCTGAAAACAGTAAAGACGTTATACTAAGCATTATAAGCCACAAAAGAAAATGAAAGAAGAACCAGTGTGCACCTAAATCAAACCTTGTTTATTCAGAGTTTTCATATCCTTTCCTTTTTAGGTAATAAGATGCTGAAAAAACATAGCTCCAATATACCACCCACCTCAGAAAGCTTCCTTAACTGTTCCCCTGCATTACCTGGTATTTCTCTTTGCTTACTGAGACTTTCAGAGTACAACAGGTTTATAAGAGTGATAAAATTGATCACCGAACACACCAAAACATCAAAGACTCTCTAAGACACATCCCTATTAGCTCAAAAAAAAAGTTTGAAAGTGAAGCAAAGTTTATTTATCTACGAGACATTTATGCAGTAATATTTAATAACCGTAAGCAGGCCAAGCAATAACATTCTACAAAACTCCACTTTAATTTATGCTTTTCAGTTACACATGTGCCTTGGCTTTGGCAAATTTACATACAGGTGAAGATAGATATGTATCCAGATACAATTAACTTCAGCCTATATTTCCTAATTCCCCAAAAACATATTTCTGCGTAGCTATTTTAGTTGTGATTTTACAGCTGAAAGGTAGGGTGCATTTGTTTACTTTGGAGAAAAAATTATATATATTCTATTCAATTCATCTGTTAGCTGGTAGAGTGTCTAAGAGGGAATTACTCCTGTCATTAACTGCACAGTAAAAAAAAAGTTTTGAGGAAGATAAAATCAGATTCTTCTAAAAAAAATTCAGGTTTTTTTTGACAGAAGGAAACAGAAGCTCTCTGTGTACACGCAGCATTCTGCAATAAGAGGGTCTACAAGAGGAACTACCCCAAAATAGCCACTGAAGTTAAAATTTAATCTTACTTCAGTCACAAGCAACTTTGAAATGTAAACACAGGAAAAAAATACACAAAAAAATTGCATTAATTGTTGTTGCAATATTTTTCTCCTGGTGTAGCAGAAAACTGGTAACATCTTGACCATAACAGTTTAGTTTATTTTCTAGAGATAAAGGAGACTTAACAGCCTACAGAAACTGTCATATAGTCCTGGTTCCCATGTCGTGTGGAGGAACATCTAAATGACAATTTCTTTGGATGCCTACTAACAGCAAGATCCTCAGCTAAAACAGAGAGATTCTTAGGGCAACCAAAAAAAGAAAAATAGGCAGCAAAGGTGGCAAGCTTGATCCATAAGCATTAATAGCCTCAAAACGACTCCAGTGTCAGATGTAATGACTCTCACTTGCTCACACCCTTTACGTGACGCATGTAACATGCAAACACACACACACACACAAACACACAAACACACACACAGAGTGCCACTGTAAAAGCCTAGTTTCCTTAGGAAATCAAGCTACTTAAGGAAAATGGTAATCAGTCATATCTGAAAACTAAAAGGCCAAATTTTGAGTCAATCAACACTAACTACTTTTAAATATATAAGAATCATGTTCTAAATACTTTATACAATATGGAACACAGTTATCTGAGTAGCAAAAAATATACTGCTTCCTTACATTTGAATGGAAATGCTAGTGTTGTTTAGCTAGATTTTAGAAATAGCTACTTTTTGGTTTTTAATATTATACATTGAAAGAGTATTTCTCCAAATACTTATATTTTTTTTTCATTATAGTACTCCTTACTTTCAGTTGAGGTAATTTCCTCTAGTATAGCAGTAATAATACAATCCTAATAATATACATAATTATATATATTTTATACACACACACACACACACACACACACACACACGGTATAGATAATAATATTTACAACATCGTACTTGGCAACATAGAGGCTGTTAATCAGCTTAATCTGGAGTGGACTTCAATTAGGACTCATGTATATCCTTGCACCTTGTCAAAACTAGAACATAGGACAAAAAATAATTGCAAAGGAAGATTAAAAGAAAGAAGTTATCAACACACTGCATCCGCAGCTTATATACATGGAGCTATGCCCAAATATTCCAACTAAGGAACGTTTTACAGTATCTGCAGTAAGAAGATCCTTTTGCCCAAATTTATGATACTGTATTGTTTTGGCACTGGACAAAGAACAGTTTGATTTTGTTGGTCCAAATTTAAAGATCTCCATTTTTTTTCCCAAGTTGTCATCATTTCTTTAACTGTAATGCAATAAGAATGTTTTGGCTTTTGTTAATGCTATCATGCCTATTTTTCCACTTCTAGTAAATTATCCTAACCCCTTGGTCAATGGAAATCTGGTAAGAATGATCAGATAAAAGTTCTTAAGACTGGAAATAGCCTTGGATGTATGATGAAGAGAAAGGAGTTATTGTCAACCTCTGTTATTTTCATTTCAACAAGTAATTTTACCAGAAGTAATCCATTTACACCAAGAAGAAATCCATTTACTAGAAGACCAAATTTACATTCACTTAGAAATGGTTAAATATTACTGTAAACTACAAGCAAAGTACGTTCCTTCCATTTAATAACCATATAGTAT